TAATTAACACACCATCTCAATCATTCTCCCCACTCACTCTCACACCAATTCAATCATTAACTCACCATCTCAATCATTCTCCCCAACTCACTCTAACATCAATTCAATCATTAACTCACCAACTCAATCATGCTCCCCAACTCACTCTCACACCAATTCAATCATTAACTCACCAACTCACTCATTCCCCCCACTCACTCTCACCAATTAAATCATTAAATCACCAACCCACTCATTCCCTCCACTCACTCTCACACCAATTCAATCATTAACTCACCATCTCAATCATTCTCCCCAACTCACTCTCACACCAATTCAATCATGAACTCACCAACTCACTCATTACCCCCACTCACTCTCACACCAATTCAATCATTAATTCACCGACTCACTCATTCCCCCACTCACTCTCACACCAATGAAATAGTTAACACACCAACTTAATCATTCTCCCCACTCACTCTCACACCAATTCAATCATTAACTCACCAACTCACTCATGCTCCCCAACTCACTCTCACACCAATTCAATCATTAACTCACCAACTCACTCATTCCCCCCACTCACTTTCACCAATTAAATCATTAAATCACCAACTCACTCATTCCCTCCACTCACTCTCACACCAATTCAATCATTAACTCACCATCTCAATCATTCTCCCCAACTCACTCTCACACCAATTCAATCATTAACTCACCAACTCACTCATTACCCCCACTCACTCTCACACCAATTCAATCATTAATTCACCGACTCACTCATTCCCCCACTCACTCTCACACCAATGAAATAGTTAACACACCAACTTAATCATTCTCCCCACTCACTCTCACACCAATTCAATCATTAACTCACCAACTCACTCATGCTCCCCAACTCACTCTCACACCAATTAAATCATTAACTCACCAACTCACTCATTCCCCCCACTCACTTTCACCAATTAAATCATTAAATCACCAACTCACTCATTCCCTCCACTCACTCTCACACCAATTCAATCATTAACTCACCATCTCAATCATTCTCCCCAACTCACTCTCACACCAATTCAATCATTAACTCACCAACTCACTCATTACCCCACTCACTCTCACACCAATTCAATCATTAATTCACCGACTCACTCATTCCCCCACTCACTCTCACACCAATTAAATAGTTAACACACCAACTTAATCATTCTCCCCACTCACTCTCACACCAATTCAATCATTAACTCACCAACTCACTCATGCTCCCCAACTCACTCTCACACCAATTCAATCATTAACTCACCAACTCACTCATTCCCCCCACTCACTTTCACCAATTAAATCATTAAATCACCAACTCACTCATTCCCACCACTCACTCTCACACCAATTCAATCATTAACTCACCATCTCAATCATTCTCCCCAACTCACTCTCACACCAATTCAATCATTAATTCACCGACTCACTCATTCCCCCACTCACTCTCACACCAATTAAATAGTTAACACACCAACTTAATCATTCTCCCCACTCACTCTCACACCAATTCAATCATTAACTCACCAACTCAATCATTCTCCCCAACTCACTCTCACACCAATTCAATCATTAACTCACCAACTCACTCATTCCCCCCACTCACTCTCACACCAATTCAATCATTAACTCACCAACTCACTCATTGCCCCCACTCACTCTCACACCAATTAAATAATTAACACACCAACTCACTCATTCCCCCACTCACTCTCACACCAATTAAATAATTAACACACCAACTCAATCATTCTCCCCATTCACTCTCACACTAATTCAATCATTAACTCACCAACTCAATTATTCTCCCCACTCACTCTCACACCAATTCAATCATTAACTCACCAACTCAATCATTCTCCCCAACTCACTTTCACACCAATTCAATCATTAACTCACCAACTCACTCATTCCCCCCACTCACTCTTACACCAATTCAATCAGTAACTCACCAACTCACTCATTCCCCCCACTCACTCTCACACCAATTAAATAATTAACTCACCAACTCACTTATTCCCCCACTCACTCTCACACCAATTCAATCATTAACTCACCAACTCAATCATTCTCCCCAACTCACTCTCACACCAATTCAATCATTAACTCACCAACTCACTCATTCCCCCCACTCATTCTCACACCAATTCAATCATGAACTCACCAACTCACTCATTCCCCCCACTTACTCTCACACCAATTACATAATTAACTCACCAACTCACTCATTCCCCAACTCACTCTCACACCAATTCAATCATTAACTCACCAACTCACTCATTCTCCCCAACTCACTCTCACACCAATTCAATCATCAACTCACTCATTCCCCCCCATTCACTCTCACACTAATTCAATCAATAACTCACCAACTCACTCATTCTCCCCAACTCACTCTCACACCAAGTAAATAATTAACTCACCAACTCACTCATTCCCCCCATTCACTCTCACACTAATTCAATCATTAACTCACCAACTCACTAATTCTCCCCAACTCACTCTCACACCAATTCAATCATTAACTTACCGACTCACTCATTCCCCCCACTCACTCTCACACCAATTAAATCATTAACTCACCAACTCAATCATTCTCCCCAACTCACTCTCACACCAATTCAATCATTAACTCACCAACTCACTCATTCTCCCCAACTCACTCTCACACCAATTCAATCATTAACTCACCAACTCAATCATTCCCCCCACTCACTCTCACACCAATTCAATCATTAACTCACCAACTCACTCATTCTCCCCAACTAACTCTCACACCAATTCAATAATTAACTCACCAATTCACTCATTCTCCCCCACTCACTCTCACACCAATTCAATCATTAACTCACCAACTCACTCATTCCCCCCATTCACTCTCACACCAATTCAATCATTAACTCACCAACTCACTCATTCCCCCCATTCACTCTCACACCAATCATTAACTTACCAACTCACTCATTCCCCCCACTCACTCTCACACCAATTCAATCATTAACTCACCAACTCAATCATTCTCCCCAACTCACTCTCACACCAATTCAATCATTAACTCACCAACTCACTCATTCTCCCCAACTCACTCTCACACCAATTCAATCATTAACTCACCAACTCAATGATTCCCCCCACTCACTCTCACACCAATTCAATCATTAACTCACCAACTCACTCATTCTCCCCAACTAACTCTCACACCAATTCAATCATTAACTCACCAACTCACTCATTCTCCCCCACTCACTCTCACACCAATTCAATCATTAACTCACCAACTCACTCATTCCCCCCATTCACTCTCACACCAATTCAATCATTAACTCACCAACTCAATCATTCCCCCCACTCACTCTCACACCAATTCAATCATTAACTCACCAACTCACTCATTCTCCCCAACTAACTCTCACACCAATTCAATAATTAACTCACCAATTCACTCATTCTCCCCCACTCACTCTCACACCAATTCAATCATTAACTCACCAACTCACTCATTCCCCCCATTCACTCTCACACCAATTCAATCATTAACTCACCAACTCACTCATTCCCCCCATTCACTCTCACACCAATCATTAACTCACCAACTCACTCATTCCCCCCACTCACTCTCACACCAATTCAATCATTAACTCACCAACTCAATCATTCTCCCCAACTCACTCTCACACCAATTCAATCATTAACTCACCAACTCACTCATTCTCCCCAACTCACTCTCACACCAATTCAATCATTAACTCACCAACTCAATGATTCCCCCCACTCACTCTCACACCAATTCAATAATTAACTCACCAACTCACTCATTCTCCCCAACTAACTCTCACACCAATTCAATCATTAACTCACCAACTCACTCATTCTCCCCCACTCACTCTCACACCAATTCAATCATTAACTCACCAACTCACTCATTCCCCCCATTCACTCTCACACCAATTCAATCATTAACTCACCAACTCACTCATTCCCCCCATTCACTCTCACACCAATTCAATCATTAACTCACCAACTCACTCATTCCCCCCACTCACTCACCGACTCAACCACCACACTTCAGGTCACAACAAAGCTCTGTCTTGTTCTTTTATCGCACTGCTCAGCTTTGGAATTCCCTCCCATCGTCTCCTTTTCCAAGTATCTATAACATTTTCCAAATAAAAATACGTATTAACTTTGTAGCTAAGACACCTTCAAAAGTGCAGTTTGTTGCTGACCACCTGGCATTTTGGGCCTTTGGGCCCCGTACTCGGCAATTACGATTGAAATTAATTAAATTTTAACCGATTAATCCCTTCAACGAAGCACATCGATTCAATATTTCAATTCATCACAGCACTGCAAAAGATTTAGGGGATTCCTCAGAATATAAAGACACTTTTGCCCCACTTTATGGTATTTTAAACACAATTCGGGGGTGCATCTTATTACCGGGGGTGCATCTTATTACCTGGTGTGCACGTGTGGATGTGGGTGGGTGTGTGCACTGCGCTATGAATCTGGCAACCTGAGTTACATTCCCACTCACGGCCAACACGAGTAACGTATATCTTAACTCGTCCTAGGCCTCCCCCACGTTGACTCAGCCGCAAATTAGTAACTGGTGAAGTGTGTCAACATCTCCACTGGATAGACGAAGTTGGCCGGGCGTGGTGCTGGCCACCCACCGCCTCGCGTGGCATGCCAGCTTTCATAGGTGTTTGCTAACAGCACTTGCCCCAAAAGTTTGTTAAGGCTATATGGGAGATCTACGTCTTCGTTTTTTGTTCCACGTGTGACCAGCCATATATATTATTGTTTCGACCCCGGAAACAAGTTTTTCTGTGCGTCTTAATTTCCGGGTGCGTCTAACTTTCGGGTGGTCGTCTTACAAATCGGGCGAATAGAATAAGAACAGCTGAGCCACACAATGCCCGCGGGGGGAACCAGGGAAGGGCGTGGGGGTCTGTGCCGATGTTTGCCGGGCCACGCACCTGTCCAGCCGGCCAGGCAGCGGCAGGTGCCGGTCTCCGCGTCGCAGCCGTCTGCGTGGCTGCAGTCACAGCGCTCCTGACAGCCCAGTCCGAACGTCCCGTCCTCGAGAAGGGAGAACAAATCGAGCAAAAAAAGTGTCCTTCAGTGTGGCCCACGCAAGGCGCCTGCACCGGCGCGGGTGAGTACGCACGCAATGCCCTCTCCAGAGGGGCTCTCTCCATAGCTCCCTGCCGCCGGCAGTGAGCGTGAGCGAGCGATTTGCGGAGTCGCACCTGCACATTTTCCCCTCGGTGTACGCCATCGCAGCACTAGGCGGCTACAGGCGGTCAGAGAGAACATGAAACGCTGACGTTCCGCATAAAATATCATGACAAGCTGTGTTGAAAATGGCATTTCATGTATTAGACACGTAAATTTAGAATGTGAAATGATGGCCTACATCTACGTACGTTTAATCCTGATGCACTTAAAAATGTAGAGTTCTGGAATGGAATGTGTAATTCTTGTAATTAAGTTTGATGGGTCACAATAACAATTTGATGCCTGAATGCTATATATGTACAGGATTATAAGTAAACTCATTTCATGCTATTGGTATAATTTTAACAATAACCCATTAAAATGGGCCACATGACAAACGTCTGTAATAATAATGCACACCAGTTCTCAGCAGATGCCCAAAGCTATCATCATTAAAACCACCAGCATATCAAAATATCATAGATGGTTCAAATGAAAAAAAGCATGAGTGAAGACAAACAAGGAAGATAATAAAGCATGCACATGTATAAAATTATGTGCTGCCTTGTGTCTGTCGTAGAAAATATTTTAGTTTCGTAGTTATTGGCATGAGGAGCGGTCAGGGAAATTCGTAAATTCGCCAATCATCCTTTATGCATGATTTGTCTCCAAGTTTTGGCCAACGCTTTTATTATTTTTTTTACCGGTTATCTCTCGGGTAAGTCCTTCGTAGCAACACAACATTATAGCAAAGTTTAGTTGATACTTAACCATAATTACGAGAGTCATCATAATCCCACGGACAGACCGATGGACAGACAAGACATACGGACAAACAGATGGACAGAAGGCGAATATATTAACCCTTTCAGCCTGAGTTGGAACGCATTAAAAAAAAAAACACGTGGGCATTGTTGCATTCATCTCATCTTCAAGACCGCCGAACTCGTGTGCGTGCGCGGTGCGGTGGGGGAGAGGGCGAGCATGCTCACAGGGCACGGCACGTCGCAGTGGTCGCCACGCCAGCCCGCGCTGCAGGTGCACTCCCCGGTGAGCGGGCTGCACGACGCGCCGTTGGCACAGGAGCACGACGCGTTGCAGGCAAGGCCCCAGGTCCCGCTGGAGCACGGGATGGAGCAGTCCACGCCCTGCCACCCTGCATGCGCAGCATCGTCACGGTGCCGAAATGTTAACTCGCTCGCCTGGTATGCAGGAGGTCGTGGGTTTGATCCCGACCCTAATGCCTGCTGCTGTATATTTGGAGTTTGTGGTGTCGCTCTCCCGCGTGGTCACGTGGATTCTTCTCCAGGTCCTCCGGTGTTCCCCTCCACATTTAGAATCAACACGCGTTTAGAGTATTTGGTTGCTATACATTTCCAAGGGATGATAAGCCACTTCGTTGAGCTATCATTTGTGGCCAGGTCGCTTCTGAAAAAAAGAGCTATGTAGCTCAGTGGGCCTTATATAATAAAATAAAAAGTTTAAATCGATTTATTTCGTATTTTTTTCCTGCAAGTTTATTCCAAAAGTCCAGAGGTAGCTGGTTCAGTTTCACCTCCCAGCACGGCAGCTGAAACAATGGGCCAAGTTTCTCAGTTCCCCCTGCCGCTTGTCCAATCCAGCAGCATAAATGAAGACATCCAAGTAAGTCGATCGGCAGGTCACGCAGGGTGGCAAAAAGCGTGGGTAACCCCTGCCTTGACCAAGACGCCCGCTCAGCAGGAAAGAATAGGCCAAAATTACCATCTGAATGGGCTCTCCAGATTCCTCGTTTGTTGAGTCCCTTCACCAGCAATGGCGAGAATAAGCAAGTGCAGGGCTGACATTTGTATGGTGGCATTTCAACATTTGACTGTACGTATTAAAATTTCTAATTACCACGCCACATTAGATCGTGCAACAAATCTCTGTAAATATTAGAAGAAACTTATGTTGTGGCCTTCTTGGTACTTGATAAGTTGTCTGGGAATATCTGGAGGTGTGCCTGGGCTTTTAGGTGGTCAAGAGATGGCAGTAGTACAGCAATGACCATAATCTTGAATCTATTTCTACAGAGTTTTGATTGTTATGTCCTCGTACGGGTGGGGGTTTTTCTGCTTAATCCCAATTTATTTCTGTATCCCACTTAACGTTTGAATATGCCAAACATCCCAAAGTATGACCCTCTTGGAAACGAGCCTTAGGACTCTTTGACTTTTCCCAAGATGAATAAAGGGCATTTAGTTTAATTTAGATTATGCTTATGAAACAGCCATCGGTCACTTTCACAGTTTCAGAATTTCTTCATTACAATTTTCGTGATAGAAGGTAGCTTAAGCGATGTCCGTCATGTTCACTCACCACTGCCACAGATGCACGACCCATCCATGGGTGAGCAGACACCTTTGTTCCTGCAGGTGCAGGAGGATGAGCAATTTGCTCCATAGGAACCAGAGTCACAAGGCTGGGAGCAATCCACACCCTGGTACACAAACAAACACAAGGGTATATATTCATCACTCATCATCATCAGTCTTGGTCAATCCTCTGCCGAATGACGGTCTCCCTAAGCTCCTGTTATCTCTCATCATTCTGCAATGCAATAATCGACAAACCGCCAGCAAACAAGCCGATTTCATCACCGCCACCTTCTCAGTGGACGTCTTCTCAAGCGTATTTGATTCCTTGGCTTACACTTTGTCATTATTCTAAACCATGGTCCATCATCCCTTGCAGAAACATGCCCTACCCAAGCACACTTACTTTTCTTAACCGTTTGAATTATGCCATTAACCTGCGAATGTTCCTAAATCCACGTGTTCCTCTTACTCTCTTTCTCAAAGTAGTTCCAGACATATATTAATCAGAGAAAAAACACCACTGTACTGCATTTTTCCTTTGATGATGGTGATTATGTATTATCAGCAGCTATTTTTGTATTCACCGCCATCACCATCCCCTCACGGTTCTGCAATTCTGAAATCCGCATCACTCCTGCACATGAACTTATCTCACAGCTCATTCTCAACGGTATTCATCCTCGCAGACACGTTCCTCTCAATTGGCTGCCATACCAGCTTGAGCAGGACACACCGCGAACATTGTCTCACGTGTTCACTCGCAACTACTTTTCTTAACATTAATTTGGGCATACTCGTGCTTAGTGCATGAAATAAGAATTTTTTCACTCCGCTTGTTGTGATGAAGTGGATGCTGATGACAAACTATAATAAAATAAATAGAGATGCAAAATTTATTTTTCTGCTCTAATTTCGGAACAACAAACCAAGCCAATCTGAGAAACCATTAATGTAAGTAATGCATTTTCAATATCAAATTTATGACATTGTATACTTCGTATAAAGCAGTTTTATATAGGTCTAAAATTAATTCTTGTACTGTAATAATTTGAACCACAAAATCAATCGCAGTAAATAATTACCCAGAGCCCCTCAGTAGAGGCACATAAAGTTACCTTCTAGGTTTGAAGCAAATGATCACTGTAAATTATTTTGCAGGCATAAACACGTCGCTCAAAAAAAAGTCTTATTACTGTCTCTGCAATTTGTCGCACGCTCGCCACACAATGCTTTACTGAGCAGAGCCTTTGCCGGCTTGCCCAGAGCAATTAACTGATATTGCAGCACCTGCATAATTGCCACTAGCTAATAAAAGTGAACACTCGAGGGATTTCCCACGGCATAATGAGTGTCGGAGAGCCACAGACGTGCAGGAGAGCCACCTTAGCACTTTTGACGTACTTAAAACCGCGGCGACGCTTCTGTGGCGCAGTCATTATCTCCAACGCTACGGGGGCATTATGCACTTGGGGATGGCTGTTACGGGGACAGCCACAGCTGACAGCAAAATTCCCAATATTACGTTGCGGGTGTTTTTTTTTTCAACCCCCCACCACTGCTTGAGATAGCGCGGGAAAGCAAAATGCGTGAAATCGAGAGGTGGAAGCCTGCGCTTGCGTTTGTATGTAGGAGTGTATGTTGAACTTCTTTCGCACCGTACGTAGCCAACAGCACTACGTAGTCAACCGTTTGCCCTTCTTTTGATACAATTTTTTTCAGAGCCAACACTGCTGGTGGGATTGTTTAATTCCAGATACTGTCGAGAAATATTACATACATACATTAAAAAAACCCAACCAAAGAACGTTTATTTTAACAAGTCAGAGGCAGGTGGGAATAAATAAATAAATAGATGCCAATCAAACCTTATTTGGGCCACGAGTCTGCAATATGTAACAGATTACATTGAACAGGCACCTTTGCAAAAGTTTTCTTTTTTGGGTGAGAACTTTGGAAGGTCGTTGCCGATGCATGTACTACATGAAAAAAAAACCCGGCCTGTCTCAAAGTCACCTCGAGAAAAAGACTCTGAACTTACGGTCGCCAACAGAAGTTCATTAGTACTCTGTGGTGGCATCCGGCAGCTGAGTGGCTGAAATAATCGGATGATTGTAATGAGGTTAACGGTTTTTTTTGTAAACGGACACCAAATGCCCTACACATCGGCCCCTTTGGCTTTTCATGCTGATACTTGTAAACTACTGAAATCACCAGTCCTCGTCAGTTATCCAAGTTCCACTTGAACTATGACTAGAATTATGAAAGAATCACGTGAACTTAAATGCATTACGAATTTAACGCAAGTTGACTCATCGGTTAGGTTTAAGAAAATGAGACAGCTTAACCTTTAAAAAAATGGTTTCGTCAAGTGACGAAACTAATCATGTATTGCCAGCAGTGCCCTACATCTGATATAACATGTGAGCATGTGTGTAGTTCGAAATGTGTGGCCAATCCTCAATTTTCATTGATTCCTGTCAACATTCTCTGAACCTGCCATTGTTTGGTATTTTAAATAAGAAGCATGTCAGCAGGTTTTGGATGTGGCGAGGACTAAAATAAAAAAAAGTTAAGCGATGCACTGCGGTGTGTTTTCGGGTTGTATCCCACGTTGTCCGTCCGGCACGACGCACGACGTTTCACTCCGTGTGTTGGGAGCTTCTTGATAAAATGTTTTGATTCAGTTTCTGACAGCTGTACAACACAACCACGATGATCTGCGTGACATATGTTAAGCTTTGCATGCTACTGAGCTACAATTAATGGGCTTGGGTTCATACGTTAATGAACTCTGGTTTGCATGCAGAACTCAATAAATCAAAATGACCCCTAGTTCTTTTGCCAAAGCACACCGTGTAAGACGCTTGGCAGCCCAGGTCACCGGAAACGAATAAACAAACAAGAAATAAAATCTTTATTTGAAGCTTTCGTGACTGCAGGAATCCATACTCTTTGGTTCTTTCGGTAAAGTCACGTAGGTAGAAAAATAAAATCGTTATTTTACCTACGTGACTTTACCGAAATAAATCAAAGTTGTATCTTCGCACGGATACATGTAAATACTCTACACACAAAATGCACATCCGTTTGTTTAAAAAAAATAACGCTCTCTGTCTGTTTATTAAACACACACACACACACTTGAACGTCCTTCTGTAATGCCTGTAGCGGCGTTACGTTTGTCTGGCGATAACATTGCGCACATCAGGGAGATCACCGCAAGCGCTGCCCCGGACCGTAACGTTTCAATCACGGTCCGGCGAGGACGCGGCGGACACTCTATCGAACGCGGGGCAGATTGCCACGGTTAAGGCTGTCAGTTCAGTTAACCATCACTCGTTGCTGATGCCAACAGCGGGAAACGGCCCCACCTCTTCCTACCCTCTCCAATGTCTGGTCGCCACCCCCTCCCACCCCCACCCCCCATTGTCTGCTGTAGTGGCTGCTGAAAAAAATTTCCCCCCAAAGCCATAACCAGTGGCAACTTTATTACCTAACGATATAAATAACAGCATTTCCACTGATCCTACCGCTGCAGTTCCATTATAACTCGTGATTGTTTTATTTAATTTAAAACTGCATTGTAAAGCTGCTACTGCTGCTGTTATTGTCGTGCTATGAGCCTTCATTGCTTCTCTCCACCACGCTCACAGCATACTTTGCATTTAGACTGACCGATATACCATTAAGCAAAGCGTGGGGTCGTATGTGAACACAGGCCACAATTTGTACATCAACGTTTATAAACACGTAAAAAAGCGAACCGTGACAACGTGGAATTACGTTGCCAGATGCACGTAGAAAGTTTCACTTTCGGAGGTAAAAACATTTTTTTTTAAATCACGGGCGACCCGTTTCGCCATGCAAAGCAGGTGCGCTGCACGCTGCAATTAACATCTCAAGAGCACGATTGTGAGAGCGGGACTGGAAATGTAACACCGCACACAAAGTTTACCGGCCACAAAACGTCCTTGCGGGTGTGCGCGCAATGTCAAGCAAGCACACAAATCCCTGCCTTCAGAACCCAGCAACGACAACGTGACATGATTGGCGCTAATCGCGTCGATGACTAATTAAAGAAAGCCCCGGGGGTGACAGGGCCCAACAGATGTAGGTTAGCCGCGATAATGACTGAAACGTCACGGAATGTCATCTGCGTGCGCCAGCCTGCGCCGGGCGCCAAAACGTGTCAATATCGGAGAGTGGACGATTCCTCACAGCTGCGCGGTGGCTGCGGGCGAAGGCGGCTTGCCCGTGCTGATTAGGGGCACGAGAGCGTTGCTGTGGCCTGCATCCTCACGCCTCGAGATGATTTACGCATTCACGCAAGAGCCCTCTGCTCCCCACTCGGCGTCACGCGTAGAGAGGTGACACGCGCGACGCAATACCTTTGAGACCGAGCAGTGGGTGTTTTTCAAATATAAGATCATGATGTATATTCTTGGTTCTTTCGGTAAAGTCACGTAGAAGGGAAACAATAAAATAATGAAAATATAAAACAATAAATAATATTATGTGAATATTATTTTATTGTTTCCCTTCTACGTGACTTTACCGGTAGTCATCATTGTGTTGCGATCGAAACGTCGTAGTTTTCATTTTATTTTCTTTGAACCTATGTACGTGACTTTACCGAAAGACCCAAATAATATGAATCCCTGCAGTCACGAAAGCTTTAAATCAAAATCATGATGAACTTTTTTTTGCGCCGTACTTCGCCAACCGTGCTCATCCGAGGTGATGATGATGATGATGATAAAAGTACCGGTGAGAATAACAATGATGGTGATGATGATGATGAAGAAGATTATTCTTCTTACAGAATTCCATTTTCGACACAAAGTGATAGCGAGGTTTTGGTCGATGTAAAGTTTCAACGCTCTATTCTCGGAAGAAATCGAGAGCTAAGCTCAGTTTTTGATGGATACGTTTGATGCCTTTTTTTTCCTTTGCCACTTTTAAAACAATCAACATTCCCACAACTTGGTGCAAGCGTAGGGAGAATCTTATGTAAGCATATTGATTCGATAACAAGCAGCGTTGTGTATACAAAGTTTAAAGTGAATAACGTCAGCTCCTTAGCCCCCATTAGTTCACAACAGCTCAGTGAGGATGCCTTGGAAGCCTGCGGATTTTAATGGGGTTGGGGGCTTTTACGGCGGTTGACAGATATGAACCAAATTCCTTTTTTTGCTGCAAGCAGAAACGGGAATATGCCCGAACTTAGCCAAATGAGACAGGCTTGGCTTAGCTTATGCTTGTGAGCCCCCCACCCCCTTACACCCCCCTCCGTCTCCCACATTCACACCCCGAGTCGCCCGTCTCTGCTGCCAAAAGTGTGGCTTGCTAATGCTGACGTACAGATGCAGCATACTTATTAGGGCTTCTTGTGAACACACAAGCGAGGTGCATTTCAAAAGCGTATATATAAAAAAATAGCCCCCTCCCCCCCAACTATACATGGTGAATAAATTAGTGCGGGGAGGGTGGGTGGGAGGAGGTGGGAAGAAAACAGACTCGGAGCATATCACACAAGCCTTAATGGATTTTATTTTGCATTTAACTGCCAAGGTTAAATACCAGCGCTGTTTGTTTGCAGCTCAACTTCAGAATCAAAATAACCGTGCGACAGCTCGGATTGAAGTGCAGTCGCACATGGCCAAGTTTCCCCGCCCCTACATTTTACCGTCATGCAAACATAACCGTGTAATGAGAATGATGAAGCAATACATGGCAAGAATTAAGCATAATAAAGGTTTTTTGGTTTAGATCGCGTTATTTATAAATGTGCCGTAAACCTCCACCACTACTTTAGCCCACCGGTGTGCTGAAGAGTGAATTCACAACATAAAGAATTAAGCATTCAAAGTTTCCCAGTTGTCCACGCAGTGGAAACCTAATCACATGAGTGTGCGGACTGGAAAACGTTACGCAAATAATTATGGGTCAGCTACTTGAACACGCTACAAAAGAGCAAATTAAAATATTCTGAAAAGACCCCTGCAAAGTTTTATAAATTGAGTACGTGCATTACAATACATCAGTTATTTCAGGTCGATTTAAGGGCAAGTTCAAGAGGTCATCATGGCCAATGCCTAGAATGTCACCGCAATTCGCTAGGGCTTCTTTAATTTCACTAGGTGCTGGAGTTGTTGTAAAGTTGGTACCGGACCTTTAGGGTCCTCTCTCACAGCATCCCATCACGTGGCTCTAGGTCTCCACTTGCTTGCTAACCTTTGAATGCGCTCCAATGTTGGATTCAGAATCCTGCCCTCCACTATTCTTTGCATGTGTCCCACCCACCACATCGGTCTTGTTTGGGGGTCAACCAGATCAAAAAGGTTGCGAGACACTGCCATACACGAATGCACTATCGAACAATGAACTGAATGGGTTACGTGCACGTAGAGTATGCATTTTAATAAGTAATGCTGTTGAAATCTTTGGAGTACGTTTAATTGAACATAATCAAAGCTGCCAAATACTTATTCTTAGTTCCAGATCAGTGACACAGCAACAGACATTGCACTTTCGCAGCGATCCAGTTGCTGTTTTATTCATGGAGTGCCGGTGGTAAAAATGTATGCAATGGAAAGTTAATTAATGCCGCATTAACACCCTGCTTAAATGCATTATGTATTACATATGCTTTAACCAAAGTAGATTAGCATTCTGGGTTTTGCACTAGCAGCTAATTTTAATTGTAGTATGCTTTTTTATCACGCAAATTGTACATGTACAACATCTGAATGGATCGTGTATGTGAATATGAAAAGCATGGCATTACAGTTTATGAGTTTTCAAGTTGTGATTTTATTTTGTAAGAAATGTAAAAAGTAAATAAACAGGATACATAGTATGATGTATGTTGAACTTTTTTTCGCGCTGTACGTAACCAACCGTGGCTAATCGTAGATGCAGGGGAAAGACAGCAAACTAAACATAATCCAGAGGTCGCCGATTCAATGTCCCGGTGTGTCAGTGTAAGTTTCTCAAATCCACCCTGCTTGTGTCCACCCGGTGGTATATACATGGGTACACCACAACTTGTGGATCGGCAGGTCTTGAAATGTGTGATAGAGGAGGATGTGGCTACTCGTACCTTTTCCCAACACGTTTTGCCACTGTGGAAGGGGTAGGCAAAAATACTCTGCAGGAGGGGCCTTCTCTAGAGCTCCCTCTATCGAATTCCTTTCTGCCAGCAGTGACGTGAGCGTGTAATGGCAGGGCGACACCTTTACCGTTTGCCCTCTTGAGCAATCTAAATACTATTAGAAGCTAGACACAACCTACAAGGTCATTTCATTTCGATGCATTTCTCTTGACAGAGAGAAGGGCCGCTAACGAACATTTTACATTCAAATCTCCGGTGGTATATATATTTTTTTGTCGAGCTAAATCAAATAACTCGACACATTATTTATGTTTCATGAACGTAATGCATTGCAGCCACTTGTTTACAAAATCCTTTCTGCACAAACTATTTTTTTTGTAATTGAGCATTTAAATGCATCAGAGGGAGCATAGTATCAAAGAAAATATTGCACGGCAGTTGCAATGCTGAGGAAAACAACAACAATTTAAATCCGTACAGCAAATTCAACTGCACCTCAAGACACTTTACATAATTAGATTACAAACAAATATAATTTAAAGAGAGGTCAACGATGTGTAAGTCTGGAATGGAATATTGCAAAAATATGTTGTAGGCGTAATCAGGAAGTGGGGGTTTCGGTGGCTGGAATACAATGGAGATTTGCCACCTCTAGCGCACAAACACCTAGAAATATAATGCAAAGAAGAAGAATATCACACAATACCAGTGAGAGGGGGGAACTACGTGAAAATTATTTCTCTTGAGCGGTGTATTGTATTAGTATTACGACGAAACTTTGACGCTTAATGTCCCAGGCATACTTACCGATTTCCTACGATAGTTACCTCAAAAAGGAGGATGAGCCTGAGAAAACCAGGACAGATGGCAAACCGAGATCCACGTTACGGGACTGAGACGGGCAGGTTGCAGACACAGGTATTCGAGTGCCACCCCGTAAGGGCAATGCTGGCTGCGTTGACAGCGAATCACATTGTCAGCTGACTTACCCAGTGACCTGGTACACAGTGAATGTGGTGTGCATATAGAGGAAGCAGGCGAGGGAGCTGAAGCTGTTCTATATGACAAGAAATCTGAGCCGAGGCGCTAAGGAAAGGAAGCCATGACAGAAAATGAGGCAGGACTTTGCCCAGCAGTGGAAAAGTTACAGGCTGACAACAAAAATCAAGGTCAGGGGCCTTTAAACAACCTCAAGGCAAAAGACGGCTCAACTCTTTGGGGCCACATAATTGGCACGAGGTGGGAGCAGGGAGCATGGTGGAGATGACAGCATGGCTATGGTATATGGTGGAGGTGACAGTGCGAGTACGGGGCATGGTGGAGATGACATCACGGGTATGAGGCATGGATGCTCGTTTACCTTGTATCCGGGCGCACACATGCAGCGGCCTGTCACGTGCTGGCAGTCGGCCCCATTCTGGCAGGAGCACACCTGGGCGCAGGCCTCCCCATAGAAGCCAGGCGAGCAGGTCTCGTTGCAGTAGAGGCCGGCCCAGCCCACCCTGCATGTGCACTCCCCTGACATGGGGTGGCAGCTGCGTGCGCATGAATCGGGAAGCAGCGAGTCGAGGGCACGTGCGTCAGTGCGTGCGGAGTGCAAGTCGGTTTGCGGGCGGGCGTCCGTCCGTTGGAGGGTTCAGGGTCGCGGAGAGGTCACGGCAAGTGCAGACAGAGTGAGGAGAAACAAATAAAAAATATTCAGCGTCAGTTATTTTATTATTTGACAATGTTTGTGGCGGGAAGCACAAGAGAAAAGGATGGCCTCGTGTTAGTGTGTGGTCTTTGGTGGCAATGCACAGCCGTGCACTCTTACAAAGAGGGCACACAACAGACCACATTATCCTGAATTTCACAAAGGTATGACCCTGACTAAGTCCTTTTTTTTGTAAAACTTATAAAGCAAAGCTACTTTTAGCCTGGTCGGTGAATGAATGGTTGTTATAAGGCTTGGGCTGTGAAGAAGCCAGATGGTGGCACGTCAATGGATCTTACACTCAACTGTGTGGACCTTGAGCGTCACACCCCGTGTGTGTGTGGGGGTCTTCTCTGGGTGCTCTGGTTGTGTTCCCCTCCCCTGTATGGCATAAAAACTGATACATGCATTTAGCCGAACATAGCAATGTAGGGATCTCGTGAAAAAGATTATTGATACTCAGTGATACGTTCCTGGTTGAATTGCTAAACAATACCGAACATACACAAAAAATACACTTGACTTTTTTTGTATTTTTCTTACCTGTTTTGTAATATGTTCAAGACTGTCTTAAAATGAGCTACGAAAACAGGTTAAATCATGTTTCTACGATGCACTGATGTTGCCTTGGTGCAATCCCTCGGACACTGGACTCGCAATCCAGAGGTCGCCGGGAGATCGAACCGGCGCCGCGATTGAAACAACGATGCAGGTCTCCCAAATCCTCCCCCCGCCACTGCCTCTGTCCACCGAGCAATATAAAAGGGTACAACCACCACAAGCGGTCGATCTGCAGGTTGGGATAAAGTGTGGGTTCTCCCACCTCTTGCAAGACGTCTGGCCAGCGTGTGAAGAGAAGGCCAAATACACGACAGAGGGTATTCTCTAGTCGCCCATCCGCAAGCAGCGGTGTGAGCACCTTGACCCTTTTACTCCGCTGCAATTGAGACCATTGTCCATTGCGTTGGAGGTTAGTCGATGTAATATAAGACAGCAGCGCGTGGGCAGAAAGTATTGCTGGAGGTGTAGATCCCGCAAGGAAATGCGATGGAGGCTAAGTTCCGTTCTCAAGGAGTGCCTCCTTTGTAGCATTTTGCGCACCACAGCCATGGGACAAAATAATGGATTTTAATTTGGGGGTGGGGGGGAGGGGGGGGGAATGTTGACCCCGCATTGCTAAGAGCAAAAATCTTATTTGCTATCGAACCATTCTACCCCGAGAAATAAATAGTGCATTTAACAAAGAGCTATACATGACCAGAAAAAAAAAATCACATCTGCGTGTTAATTAGTGGAAGACGTATGTGTAATAAATACACACAACTTTAGTTACGCTTTTCCACTTTCACACTGAATGCCAAAAATTCTGCTCAAAGATGTAAAAAAACAAGAATATCTCTGGCCTGTTTCGCAAAAAAAACAAGGGAGAGAAGTTCCAAAAGATTCATGCAAAAAGAACCAACCTCCTATGAATCTAAATTAAACTTAAAGTTGAGACTGTGTTGGCAGCCTTGTACAACGACAATCTAAATAATTCACCACCTTCATCAACAGCCTCTCATCGCAAAAAAATATACACTGCGCTGACATCTTGGGCATTGGCCCTTCTTTAGAGGAGAGAGAACAGACAAGAATGACTCACTTGCAGCAACTTGTAGTGTTAAATGCGACCTCCATCTACATGTCAATCAATCTTTCGATTTAAAGCTTTCGTGACTGCAAGGATTCATCTTCTTTGGTTCTTTCGGTAAAGTCACAGAGCTACTGTCGTCCCGACAGGTTTGTTCCTTTCACCTGAAGAAGGCCACTTGTGTTGTGGCCGAAACGTCGTGAGAATTTTATTGTTTTATATTATTATTTTATTCTCATTCTACGTGACTTTACCGAAAGAACCAAAGAAGGTCAATCAATCTGTCCGCTGCTTTCTTTGATTCAGGGCCGTCGTAATGCTTTTGATGAATGTGGTGATTTTTACTAGCGTGCAGGTTTTCGCAGTTGTGCTGTGTGGAGCTCTATGATGTGCTTTCGGATTGTGGTGTATTTTGTTTCTGAATGATGCCCGACGTTTCGATCCAATTGGACGCAGTTGGCCAAAGACGCTCTCAACACGCAGAGCCAAACCATTGTATATCGCGCCCAACGACACGACCCGGACACCCCAGAGAGCGGTGAGTTTTGTTTATCGCCCTTGAAATAACGCTGAAGTTGCAGCGAAGACATGAAACCACAATGCACTGCCAACTCGGACACTCTCCTGAAAAAAAAGTAACGGAATACCCAGCAAGTGATGGCCAGAGACGCTGGGGCAAATTCATGCGTGGAAAACAACGGGGGGTGGGGGGGGGTTGTTTTCCACCAATTTCACCCCCCCCCCTCTCTCCCTCGACCCCAACCCTCCCTCCACAGGGGCGCTGGGCGCGGTGCCCTGGACATGAGCCGCCAAAGACAGCTGCAGGCGGCTGCTTTGCCCAATCGTCGCCCCCTGTCAATGTTGGGGCCACGCACGCGCAGCGCATAAAGGGGAGCTTGTGCGAGATGGAAACGCGTCGTTAGCGGGGGGGTGGGGGGGGCCCAGCGCCGCTGTAAACAAGCGTCGGGCTTGGCTCGAGGTGGCTTCACGGGAGGGCTCAGGCGGGCAGGCATTGGCAGGCACAGCTGCACGTGTAACCTCGCCCGCACAGCTCTGTGTGCACGTGTTCACAAAGTGCCACGCAGTCTGTGATTGTGTATTTATCAGTGGAGTGAAATGACATTTGTCTTCATAATTTCAACTACTGTTGCCATATATGTAAAACAGAATATTGTTTATGAACACTTTTAGCTGTTATATTTAAAGGTGAAGGAAACCGAAGGGAGATATATATAAGAATATAAGTTGTAGCACATGTAAACAAACTAGTATGTACATGAGTTTTTTTATCATGATACTCATTACACAGATAATTCTCGCTTGAAAAAAAAATCCAAGCTGCATGACTTTTCTAATTAGAGTCAAGTTCCTTTTTTTAAGCCTTGTGGTTAACAATTCCATTGTGTGATAGCGGCAATTCACATTTCTGTGGCTCGCGAGGGCTTTCTTTGTGGCCAGATCGCCAATCCCTGGCTATTACATATAGCTCTGTGGGCCTAAGCTTTCTTGGAGTCTCCCCAGAGTATTCCATTTCATTAACAGGGCCATTCCACTGCGGCCTGTGTAAATAATGCCACCAGGGAAACACCAACAAAACCCAATAGTGCTGTTTTATAATGCTGCTCAGGAGAGATTGAATTCTACGCTTTTTTTCCCTGCCGTTATTTGTTTGGCATTTGTTTGGCAAGGAATGTGGAATGAGCTGCCAGTGTTAGCCGGTACATTGCTTTGAGAATAAACACTTGTGCATTACGCAGATGGATGCGGCATTATGGAAATGTACGACTGTGTTTGGGTTTGTGTTACGGAGGGCAGGAGGGCGCACCACAAACTTGCGTGCGTCCCTCATGGGCACATTTCTGTGGAGGCGGCTTCACGTTGGACGTCCGTGGACCGCCGGTATTTGTACGATTAACCCCACCGCGAGCACTTGTTATGCCAATGCATTTCAAGGCTGTACTGAAGCCTGCCAATTTATATGATTAGTGCCTCTGCTCGTAGCTTGATAGTGGCAGCATATAACGTTCGAATAATATTTTTTTTTACGTACATCTCAGACTCTTATAGATTATGGTTGTTTCCCCGTTGTGTTTGCTCTATAGTCTGCATTGGAAATTATGTACAGACAATAGCAGCCACAAGTAATGAGCAGTCACAGAAATATTATAGCTTACGGCCACGATTTAATAAATCAACATTAGGGATACTTCATTTGCCATCTCTCTTTTGGACGAGCAATGCTAAATATTAGTTGATCTTTGCTCATATTCCATTACATGACCATTTACATTACAACACAATTTGCCATCTCTTGTGTATTCGGAGCCACGCTAAATTATTACACTGTGGAAAACGAACTATTTCATTGCAAAAACAGCAAAGGTGGTTAAAGGGGAATTTTTGATGGGGGAAACAGATAATGAACCACCTTGCAGGCTCCGTGCAGTGACACCATTCAACACATAAATAGTTTCTTCTTCCAGACACTGCAGTATATCATCTGATTAGCACACATAAGCAGCCTGTGACCTCCAACACAGCTGTAGGGCTAAGGCCAAATGAAAAAGGACTGCTTATGCCCCATGACCCGTCACCTTGTCTCGGAAAAGGAGAAATCCTGCTCGGGGAGTCGTTTGTCTTTGCTGGGAGCGGACTCCGAGCACGGTACGAGTTTTTTTTCCGCTACAGCAACAACAGCTTGTCAATTCCACCGAAGATCTCGGGGTTAGATTAATTAAAACATTCTAATGTGGAGCGCAGCCTCTCCATGCTGACCTTCGGTGATAGGGGACATATAAAGAAAAAAAATATCTGGCCTTTTGTCACTTAAATCAAATGAATAGCAGAGTGCAGATGCAAGCAGTGATAGCTCAAAGGTGGTAGCGTAGTGCATGTTGTGAGTGTGTAATTGGGGTGCAAACTGGGAAATATAACGCACTATATTATTGGTTCTTTCGGTAAAGTCACGTGACTTTACCGAAAGAACAAAGAGTATGAATTCCTGCAGTCACGAAAGTTTTAAGTCAAAATTTAATATAACGCACTGTTAGTGCGTCGAGCAGCTGTAGCCCGTTTTAATTAAGAATTATGACAATTACACCACAGCATAAATCAATCATCTCACGTCAGCGTCAAAACTGGGACAATGCAGAAACATTTAACATTCAACTATGTTATGGGCGGCTTGACGAAATCTACGATTTGGGATTAACAATGTCAAACATCCTTTTTAATAGCCCGTTTCTTTGTATTTTTTCACCCATAAGAAACGCTGCATTTTTCATATTCCATTTGTTTAAAGTTTTGCTCCGTGTTGAGTTGGGCTTTTACCAGATTTAGATTAAATTTTCAAGGTTGTGGGGAGACGCAAACAGCAAAAAGTACAGGGGAATGGAAATACTGCGTTTTTTAATGCCCAAAAACAAAATAAATGAGCACATAAATATTCCAGGAACACAGTGGCAATAATCCTCACTGGGATTCAAGTGGGAAAGTGCAACATGTTAATACGCGATTGCAATACAGTGTTCAGTTTCTGTGCCCGCTTAGGGTGAAGGGTAGCTCGACCTTTGCCTACAGCTGCCTGCCAGGTTTTTATTCGAGAAGCCTCAAAAGGAATGGCTGCAGTCTATATTATATATACACACACGTGATGTATGTCAGTCCGATGTCCTTAATTTAACGATGTGACCGTGCATTGCGATTCATTATCTGTTTTGTGAAGGTGGTCTGAGTTATACGAGGCCAGATAAAAAAAAAACATTTATTCACTAGCCGTTGGCAATTTTTATCGGTATGAGATTTGGCCTATGATATCAGCACACTATTATGTAATCTCACGCACGATATTTAGCAAAAAATAGTTTTTCTGAAATGCATCCTAATTTTTCCAAGCTATTTACTAAGTTGGAAACAAGCAGCAATCTGTCAATTGGGTTTTTATTAATAAATGGGAGAAACAGCTTAACTTGTTTGGATCCAAATTGCCCTGTTTTTACCCAACACTGAAAAACCTGCAAATTTTTTTCGATTAAAATTACCATTTTCCAAAAATTTAATAATTTCTAACAGATTCAACTGATTTCATGAACTGTGGTAAATGCACCTATTTTAACAGTATCCTCCCAATTTGTCCAAATTGGTTGTGTGTAGCTTGTTTTGGTTCAAAAGATATTCAACTTCATCCTATATGCCAACACGCATTTATTTAACAAATATAACAGAACATATACATATTTATCCTGGTCATGTGCACATTTTTACCCATCCAATACATTTTCAAAATAACTTAAATTCGAATAAACATTTAACATCAGGGGTTGGCTCCCGCATACAGTATGTTGTACATTTATTTTACCGTTTTCACTGGATACATTTGTAGTACTAAAACATAACCAGTAGTGTCACAAAAACAAATTCAAATGATGAATTTCCTATTCCACATATCATCCCTGATTAACTATGTTTTCTTGAGCAGCCTATGTGCATCAGAGAGGTCATATACTACAACTATTTTGTCGGTAGCTCTGATGAGATGCAGACAAATGTGATTTGGTTTTCCCCCAAGAAATTATTGAGTTTGTAATGCATTTACTTGGGCTCAATAAAATATGTTCATCATCTTCATTATCATCAGCCACGATCTATTCACTGCTGGCTAAATGCCTCCCCAAGCCGCTGCCATCACTCTCAGTCCTGCTATGTGATGATGCACCTTGCTACGGCACGCTGGGCAGATCTCGTCCCTCCCTAGCACCTCAAAAAAGTCCTCAAGACAACTATAAATATAACAAAAAGTGAACTGGAAACACGGTATATTTACACTGGCTCAGGGACCATAGCTGCAGTGGTGAGGATGTGTGATGCAGTGGTGAGGATGTGTGATGCAGTGGTGAGGATGTGTGATGCAGCGGTGAGGATGTGTGATGCAGCCGTGAGGATGTGTGATGCAGCGGTGAGGATGTGTGATGCAGCGGTGAGGATGTGTGATGCAGTGGTGAGGATGTGTGATGCAGTGGTGAGGATGTGTGATGCAGTGGTGAGGATGTGTGATGCAGCGGTGAGGATATGTGATGCAGCAGTGAGGATGTGTGATGCAGCGGTGAGGATGTGTGATGCAGCAGTGAGGATGTGTGATGCAACGGTGAGGATGTGTGATGCAGCGGTGAGGATGTGTGATGCAGTGGTGAGGATGTCTGATGCTGCAAGTGGAACATGCCCGTGTCGGATTTTCCCACTACTCCAGGACTACACGTCTGACACCAATGCTACGTTTGGCAAGACAGAGAGTGGGTATTCAAACATGCTGCATTACAGTTAACGTTCCCACCTGTCCCAGTTTTCCCAGACTCGTCCACTTCTTTAGGCCCACGGACTATGTGGAACATAGCGCCTCTGCGAAAGCCTTGCACTATAATCAGCTGAACAATGGTGCGAATACCAAATGTTTACCTAAGTCCGGGGTTTCTTGGTTGGGCTGTGTGTTGAGCATTTCCCTCCTCAAGCTTTCACCGCGTGCATCTCCATCCAGGAGGCGATGGGTGTGTGTGTGTGGGGGGGGGAGGTATATATAATTGTAGGTGCTGGATCACCTAAGCGTGTTGGCCGGGTTGCAGGGGCACATCTCGCTGCACGCGATGCCGTAGAAGCCGTCGTGGCACACACGGTCCTGGCAGCGCGTGCCGGTGAAGCCCGCCTCGCACAGACACTCGCCGCTCACGTGGTAGCACTTGGCGCCGTTCGCGCAGTCGCAGCGCTTGCCGCAGCCCAGCCCGTAGCGGCCGATGGGGCATTCTTCCTGGCACCTGCGTGGCGGTGGTGGTTGGGGGGGTTGGGGGTTGGCACGGGAGGGAGGGAGGGAGGGGAGGGAGGGCCGAGAGCGACGAGGCACGGGTGCCCCGTTGCGTGAAGCGAGCGTAGATCGGGCGCACGTCCGGCGTGACGACGGAGAGCGCGGATCGCGCCTGCTGCCTTGCAGCCACTTCTGTCACCTGGCCTGGTTCCCCCCCCCCCCCCCTCCAGGGTTGTTCTCGTCTTGAGTAAGCCGTCCTGGGAAATCTGTACGCATTGTATTCTAGGAACATTAACAGTCGGTTTGTTTTGACAGTTGTGTAGCAATACACCACTCAAGACCATGCATTTGTGTGTTGTTTATCCCCTATTGCAAATGAGATATTCCTATTCACAAGGTATGTCCCAGGTTTTTCCCCTATTGCAAATGAGATATTCCTATTCACAAGGTATGTCCCAGGTTTTTCCCCTATTGCAAATGAGATATTCCTATTCACGAGGTATGTCCCAGGTTTTTCCCCTATTGCAAATGAGATATTCCTATTCACAAGGTATGTCCCAGGTTTTTCCCCTATTGCAAATGAGATATTCCTATTCACAAGGTATGTCCCAGGTTTTTCGCTATTGCAAATGAGATATTCCTATTCACGAGGTATGTCCCAGGTTTTTCCCCTATTGCAAATGAGATATTCCTATTCACAAGGTATGTCCCAGGTTTTTCCCCTATTGCAAATGAGATATTCCTATTCACAAGGTATGTCCCAGGTTTTTCCCCTATTGCAAATTAGATATTCCTATTCACAAGGTATGTCCCAGGTTTTTCGCTATTGCAAATGAGATATTCCTATTCACGAGGTATGTCCCAGGTTTTTCCCCTATTGCAAATGAGATATTCCTATTCACAAGGTATGTCCCAGGTTTTTCCCCTATTGCAAATGAGATATTCCTATTCACAAGGTATGTCCCAGGTTTTTCCCCTATTGCAAATGAGATATTCCTATTCACGAGGTATGTCCCAGGTTTTTCCCCTATTGCAAATTAGATATTCCTATTCACAAGGTATGTCCCAGGTTTTTCCCCTATTGCAAATGAGATATTCCTATTCACAAGGTATGTCCCAGGTTTTTCCCCTATTGCAAATGAGATATTCCTATTCACAAGGTATGTCCCAGGTTTTTCCCCTATTGCAAATGAGATATTCCTATTCACAAGGTATGTCCCAGGTTTTTCGCTATTGCAAATGAGATATTCCTATTCACGAGGTATGTCCCAGGTTTTTCCCCTATTGCAAATGAGATATTCCTATTCACAAGGTATGTCCCAGGTTTTTCCCCTATTGCAAATGAGATATTCCTATTCACAAGGTATGTCCCAGGTTTTTCCCCTATTGCAAATGAGATATTCCTATTCACAAGGTATGTCCCAGGTTTTTCCCCTATTGAAAATGTCATATTCCTATTCACAAGGTATGTCCCAGGTTTTTCCCCTATTGCAAATGTGATATTCCTATTCACAAGGTATGTCCCAGGTTTTTCCCCTATTGCAAATGAGATATTCCTATTCACGAGGTATGTCCCAGGTTTTTCCGCAATTGCAAATGAGATATTCCTATTCACAAGGTATGTCCCAGGTTTTTTCCCTATTGCAAATGAGATATTCCTATTCACAAGGTATGTCCCAGGTTTCCCCCCCTATCGCAAATGAGATATTCCTATTCACAAGGTGTGTCCCAGGTTTTTCCCCCTATTGCAAATGACATATTCCTATTCACAAGGTATGTCCCAGGTTTTTCCCCTATTGCAAATGAGATATTCCTATTCACAAGGTATGTCCCAGGTTTTTCCCCTATTGCAAATGTCATATTCCAATTCACAAGGTATGTCCCAGGTTTTTCCCCTATTGCAAATGTGATATTCCTATTCACAAGGTATGTCCCAGGTTTTTCCCCTATTGCAAATGAGATATTCCTATTCACGAGGTATGTCCCAGGTTTTTCCCCAATTGCAAATGAGATATTCCTATTCACAAGGTATGTCCCAGGTTTTTCCCCTATTGAAAATGAGATATTCCTATTCACAAGGTATGTCCCAGGTTTTTTCCCTATTGCAAATGAGATATTCCTATTCACAAGGTATGTCCCAGGTTTCCCCCCCTATCGCAAATGAGATATTCCTATTCACAAGGTATGTCCCAGGTTTTTCCCCCTATTGCAAATGACATATTCCTATTCACAAGGTATGTCCCAGGTTTTTTCCCTATTGCAAATGAGATATTCCTATTCACAAGGTATGTCCCAGGTTTTTCCCCAATTGCAAATGAGATATTCCTATTCACAAGGTATATCCCAGGTTTTTCCCCTATTGTAAATTACATATTCCTATTCACGAGGTATGTCCCAGGTTTTTCCCCCTATTGCAAATGACATATTCCTATTCACAAGGTATGTCCCAGGTTTTTCCCCTATTGCAAATGAGATATTCCTATTCACAAGGTATGTCCCAGGTTTTTCCCCTATTGCAATAGTCATATTCCTATTCACAAGGTATGTCCCAGGTTTTTCCCCTATTGCAAATGTGATATTCCTATTCACAAGGTATGTCCCAGGTTTTTCCCCTATTGCAAATGAGATATTCCTATTCACGAGGTATGTCCCAGGTTTTTCCCCAATTGCAAATGAGATATTCCTATTCACAAGGTATGTCCCAGGGTTTTCCCCTATTGAAAATGAGATATTCCTATTCACAAGGTATGTCCCAGGTTTTTTCCCTATTGCAAATGAGATATTCCTATTCACAAGGTATATCCCAGGTTTTTCCCCTATCGCAAATGAGATATTCCTATTCACAAGGTACGTCCCAGGTTTTTCCCCCTATTGCAAATGACATATTCCTATTCACAAGGTATGTCCCAGGTTTTTCCCCTATTGAAAATGAGATATTCCTATTCACAAGGTATGTCCCAGGTTTTTTCCCTATTGCAAATGAGATATTCCTATTCACAAGGTATGTCCCAGGTTTTTTCCCCAATTGCAAATGAGATATTCCTATTCACAAGGTATGTCCCAGGTTTTTCCCCTATTGAAAATGAGATATTCCTATTCACAAGGTATGTCCCAGGTTTTTTTCCCTATTGCAAATTAGATATTCCTATTCACAAGGTATGTCCCAGGTTTCCCCCCCTATCGCAAATGAGATATTCCTATTCACAAGGTATGTCCCAGGTTTTTCCCCCTATTGTAAATGACATATTCCTATTCACAAGGTATGTCCCAGGTTTTTGCAGCTCGGGTGGCAATCCTACTTGCAATCGGAGTGGGAAACCTTTTTGATTTCTCAGGGCCAAATAGGACTGTCAAATGCCTCTATCGGGCAACTACACACGAACACACACCACCTCAGTGGCTTCCCTCGCTGCAAGAGGCCCCTGCCGTGATAAGTCACGAAGCGTGGTAAAATATTCTCTTATGATTCTTTTGTAATCGAGGTGTTTGTCTTGCCAGGTGAACATGGCAAGGTTTGCACCCTATGCATTTGTTAGATTGTTTACATCTGACTATAACGAATAATACATTTATGACGCTGGTTTGTTCTCGAATCATAAACGTTGTGGGTTTAGTCTCCAACACACACCAGTGTGCTGAACTACTAACGAATCCGCACGTTTTGTTTACGTGACACGCCTTACTTATTGGCTGTGTTGGGTGGTGACGGGTTTAACGACACATTTATATTTACGCGATCTAACCCAAACCCCCCCCCCCCCCCCCCCCCCCCCCTCTATTATGGAAAATATTGGGCGCGAAAGCCTATGCGTTAAACTGCCATTTATCATGACTCGCAAAACATATACAAAATATAATTTACCAGAATTAAAATATTCCACTCCAACAGGATACATGTGAATATGATGCTTGCAGTGATGGACAATTCTCGTTTGTAGGCCCTTTAAATCTGGTAGGCCTCATGTGGCCGAGGGCTGTATGAAATTGATAAATGTTGGAAATGTTAACAACAAAAAACGTCATCGCCATTGTGGTTTACGCCGCTTCATTTGATTTAAGTGGAACGCTCATCGATAATTAGTTATCAAGTTTAATCTCAGGATGTAAACATTGAACCACGTGTGCAAGCATTGCATTATAATTTAGCGTAGATTTATTAATAAGCATCGACGCATGTCAACTCACATGTGTTGCATGCAATATACGTACAGCACATGCGATTTGCCAGACAAATACAGCAAGGCTTGCACGTTTGTATTTGTTAAACGGTTTATGTGTCTATATAATGCACGCTAATTTACCATAACTAATCAAACATTAAATGTGTATTCTCCTGGAACACATCCAATTTACAAAGGCAGAACAAATAACTTTAACCCAATAAAATATCCAAAACGATGCAAATTTTGAAACCAATTAAGACATATGGGCGGGCTTAGCATTTAATTAGTTTCCATTGTATCGTTAACTTCTCACGTGTCGTAACAATTCGGCAGCAAAAAGGTATACGTTGATCTACAATGAGGTGAAATGTGCGCGGTCACGTAACATTTCCAGTGGCGAAGGCGTTAAAGCAACATTACACATCAGGGGATGACTTTCTTATATGTAGTAAATTCACGATATCGTTTCACCAGGGACTTTTACAGTGCTAATGCATAAACAGTAATGTCTCAATAGCACACAGAGACGACGAAATTCCTCTTCGACATATCGTCTTTGCTGGGACAATGTGTCCTTGTGCAGCTCCGTGTATCAGACAAGGAGGTGTTACTGTACTATAATTCTGCGTTGTCAGCTGGTCCGTGATCAGTGGTGTTTCTCATCAACAAAAAACATTGGAAAGTTAGGAAACAAATTGCTGTTGCATCACTAAAGTAACTGTATTTGACGGAGAATATACTACGGAAGTCGCAAGTATCCTGCGTTGCATACCAAAAATATAGAAATAATTAAAAAAATGTGCAAAGAAAGCTATAGAAATGATAGAAATTCGTGCAAATAATCTGACAG